TGTCGCCCTCCGTAGCGAACTTATCGTGACAGTGAATACATGTTCTCATGTTTGGTTTGGTTTTTGTAGGACTTAACGTCCTATTCAAAGCTTAGTCCATTTTAGGACGTCTCAGTATATACCATACCCTACCTGTATAGTTATTACATGTTAAGGGGAAATTGAGAAAGGTTCATTTGCGATGTCTATGCCTAATCCAATTATATTCTTAATATATATATACAGTAAAAAGGACTTGGAAATGATGAAAAAGAAAATAGTTGACTGAGTGAAAGTTACCCGATGAAGATTATCCGACTGGTCATATGACGTGTTGGTTTTAACACACTGTGATATTTAGTGAGGTACATGTATATTGTAGTGCAGTTGACAAATAATTAAATAGAATTATATCCGTTTAGTCTCAAATTTGTGTTTTAGGATACCCTGAAATCGCAATATTAAGCCTGATTTGAAATTAAGACTGAAGACTTGCAAATAAGACTGAGATACCATGCAGTCAAATGTATCCAAACAATTAGCTAGCTTTGATAATATGCCAGACATGGAAGAGAGCCTTTGAGTCAAGGTGTTATGCACTTACCTGTTCACGACCGAAACATGTTTGACAGGTCATCATCATTTGACTTGATTTACAAATTAATCATGCTTTTTGAGAATTCTGTGTGTCTTTAAATAGCTTAATATCCTATCACATGTGGTACATGTTAAAAGCATTTAACGACCTCCTAAAAATGTGTATTAGTGCTTCGTGTTATTCTTAAATTGATACAAGACAGTTCATTTAGAGTCGCATACACATAAACGAGAAAAATTAGCTTTTGTAAGCTATTAATGCAACACACATATGCATTAAACGAAACAAAAAAAAATAGAATTGCATGGCGAATTATCATAAAATTAAATGATATATACAAAACATTGTATGCATTTTTATTTCATAACCACAGATAATGGTGTTACATTGTATCATACTGATTGCGTTGACAAACCTATTTAAATATAATATGATAGCCCCGAATACTGTATACATAAAACAAAACTATCAAGATGTTAGGGTATTGCATTAATGTCCTTCTGTAACAGATGAAATCGACTGTTTTGTTCAAATATCATATATCGGGATATTTAAAATAAATTTAAATCAGTCTGTGTTCGGTTGCACACTCCAAAGTGCATTGCGACATGTGCTTTTTATTGAACATTTTATTTTGAATATAACATAAACAGATCGCTTCAGAGACAATGGTAACATTTTAGTTTAACTTGTTGCTAACTGTTACCTTTATATCCAAGCTAAGCCATTCATTTTCCATCTGCTACCATTAGTAATAGCCTTTACCCTTAGTTCTGATTGTTATGCAGACTAATATTACCGTCATATTTTATATGAATCTAAAAGTTCATTTAAAAATGAAAATCAATATGAGGCACCAGATTCAATACCATGGTATTAATGACAGCGATTGATGTTATGTTTTTCCTATACAAATCATGGTTTTGATTTCATTCCAAACGTTGTCCTGTTTCATAATTTCGCCGGTAAAGCGGATATTTAGTTTCGATTTACTATTCATACAAATTGGACGGCAACAACAGTCTCAACGTCATGTGTGCGTTCGCCACAAAGGGAAGAGGCATGTGTGTCCTGGCCACAAAGGGAAGAGGCATGTAGTTTTTGCCCTTTAGTCGGTCCGTCCGAAGGATACATTTGTTTGATTTAACTATTAAGCTCCATCGTCTATGACACAATCTAGAGCAAGGGATCTAATTCGCAAAATTAAANATATATATATATATATATATATATATATATATATATATATATCTTTGAAGTCGAACATTCATCATTTTTCAAATTTCGTTACATCTTGATGAGTACTACACCAATTAATCAAAAGTAGGTCACTGTAGCAACTATTTGCATAAAACTGACTTTGGGTAGACTTTGCTTGGTCCCACTTTGTTGGTTAAGCTTCACGTTTATTACACTTCGTTTAGACTAAGTATTCATAAAAGCAATAGCAAGGGGTATGTGTATATTTGACAAACATTTTCTTTTTGTTTTGTTTTTATTTGCAGGACTCATCAAGGACAGCACTGGAACTTGGGCCCATGCTTTACACTTTACGGGTTCAATGTCTATCATTGCAGTTATATTGCTCCTGGTTTTGCCTTTTATAGAGAGACGGTACAACAGGAGAAACAGTTCTAATGTATTATATCTCACATGAGTTTTACCGTCATATCAATACAAATAGGTGTCGTAGCTTTGATATCATCTCGTGTTAAATCAAGTTATAATCAAACTCAAAGTGTTCCCACATATGCGTTTACATATCCTTAGGACTGTATCTTTTAAATCGGTGTTTTTATTGGATCTTGTGTCTCCGATAAATAGCTCTCAGAATGTATGACATTTGTTGAGCTGGTATCAACTGGCTACGACATGCTGAGCATGCATGGTAGAAGTTGTGGCGCAGTGGATGTCTCGTTCTACAAAGTCTATAGTGCGAGACATTATATTTCAATTCAAGAAAATGTATGTACACGTTTTGAGCACTTGACCTGTGTGTCAGTGCTAGTGACACGCAGTTCGAAATGTGTTAGATATTGCTAGGGCTCTTCCATTAGATCAGGACAGCTGTAATATGTACATTGTAGTTCCACAGGAGATTATTAAGTGCTCCAGTGATATAAAGGATCACCCATGTGGTTTTCATTTTGTTGTATCCTAAACGAGATTGTGAAAAAACATTTTTAGCTCCTCCGTTGCTCGTCGACAGTCGCACGACTTGAAATTCAGTACTACTGCGATTGCAGACATATCGAACATTTATTTTGAACTCATTATTCATAAATGTGATGGAAATAATCGATATATGGTCTCAACTGAGTTGTAACCAATTTGAAATCAAATATAGCCGTCATATAGGCCATTTTGAAAATCTATTCTTACCTAAACGCAAATTCTGCTGAAAATATTTTACTGAAATTTAATGGAAATTATCAGTGTCTGGTCTTAGATTTATTTTTCTTCTTTGGAGATAGTTTGAATTTCTATTTGGCCGCCATGACAGCTATCGTAAAATAAGTTTTCTCTTTTAACTCAAATTCCAGTAAAATTAAACCTCGATATAATGCCCCTCCTCACATATGCCACCTCCTTAACCGTTTTTTCAATGGCACGTTTTCTATCATTTCCTTCAATTCATCGCCAAACCCCTTTACAACGCCAACATTTATTTGAACAAATGGTGGCAGTAAAATGAGGTTTTACTGTAAATCAGTTTTCTTATGTGGTACAGAAATGATCTGTGATTGGTTTAACCGTTTACTGTTATTTTGGCGCCTATTTGTGAATGTGTTGTATCTGCCATGGCAGCCATATTCGTAATTCAATTTCGATTTGAAATTCAAAATTTACTGTTAAAACTATGCTGAATTGTGATGGAAGTTATTGATAACTTAAGATAGAATATAAATGAACCAGATTTGCCGAGACTTTGCTGTACATTTTGGTAACTTGACTTTAAGTACAATGAAAATTATGTGAGCATCATTCAAAAGTATCCTTTTGCTGTTGTGCTTGCAACGTCTGTTTTTGTCAATTAAGCAGGTCATGAAGCTCGTTGTAACGTTTAGAACCCTTGTTAAAGATAAGAGCACATATTCTTCTAATTCAACTGAGGATGGGAACTTTTGTGTAATGTTTCGAGCTCTGACAAAGATACATGTTTCTTTCAGGAAAATAATTAACTACTGTGAGGCAACATGTTCTTATGAAGAGCTCCGCGAGGAAACCAGAAACAAATGAAACTAAAAGACGACGGCAAAGTACTAAACTTACCATGAACCGGCAGTGTTGAGAACAATGTTGACAACTTTTAATGCGATAAATTGTATTTGTATAATAAAATCGCAGACTGCGGTACGGAGTACCAACAGCTTTTTAAAACTTGCTTTATGGTAGATCAGTAGCTAAAGGCGCATTGAATGTCCGAGATGTAGTTTTATGTATTTGTTATGTCAATTACATGTTTGATTTTGTGGTCTGTCCAATAAAATATGAGTGTATTAAATAAAAAACTAAAAAATTGTGCATGCTGCAGATTTGCATAATCGTGACAGTAAATACTAGATAAGTTAATTTAGATTTTTTTGCATCAGATAAAGTCCTATATTTGCGGTAGGTCTATGCATAACCGTATCAATCTATACTAGATAAATTAGATACAAGTCTATTGCATGGGTCATGAATAAGTAAAAAGCAGGCCTTTTGCCTAATGATAACAGTTCTCAGCTAAACTTGATAAAGATGTATTGCATGAACAAACGTGAAATATGTAGATCTATTAATTGTTTTCACTTAGCTTACTTCAAGCGAATTCCGCTCATTATTGTCCATGTCTTTTTATTTGTATTAATGACTTTCCTTTTTTCATGTGTGCATGTTTGACTCTTTCGTAATATTCAGGCTTAAAGTAATGAAATACAATAAACAATGATTTATTTAAGGGAAGTGTTGTGTGTTTGATATATGCATATATATATGCAAAACATCAAAGGACGGTTTGCAACACAATTTGACAGATAAGTCCCTACAAATGAAATTTGCTAAATTTTATAGTCGATATGATAACAAATATCTAGTAAAAGATTACCTAAATTGACAATTTCTAGCTTTATATTTTCATCATTTTTTACACACAGATACACGTTTTCGTCAATTCATTTTCAAAACGTGACAACCCTTGATGAATTGGTTTAATTTATTCACTTATTGTATTTCTACATTTTATTAAATAAATTAACTAACAGGAAGATCCTCGAAGCAGAACCTTTAAAGCAGCTGTTTCTGCATGTCTGAATGTGACTACTGAAGAATGTTGAAAACGATCCTGACTTCACTGGGGAGTGTTAAACGATATATTTCATCATTTATTACACTGATCTGTTCTTAATTAATGATTGAAACATGACAACGTCTTTGATTGAATCTTTTTTTATTTACTTCAGTACATATCGAGTTTTGGTTTCCTTTAACTTCATAATTCAAACAGGAAAATCCTCCTAGAAGTAGCTTCCAAGACAAGTTTTAGTTCAAACGTATACAAATGTTTTCGACATTACTATCAATAGGTTATTGTTTCTTAGATAGTTGTTCCGACTCCGGCCTGGTCAGTTGGAATATGTTCCACTTCTCTTTTTCAGTCATATTCACTGCTCCCTGTTTCTTATAGAACTCTATGGACGGTTTGTTCCACGTGTGCGCCACCCACTGCATCTTCTGACAATTATGTGCGGTACCAATCTAACTCAAACACACACATATGACTCTATCAGAAATGTGTACATGTAATATAAACACTGAAAACAAATCATCCATAACAAGCATTAAAAACTAATTAGCAAAGTAAAGTTATTCAGAATAACGAATTACTTTCTAACTTTACTTCTCGTGGTAACAAGTAAAGTTAGAAAGTTATTCGCTATGCAAAATTATAAAGGATTTCCAATTGAAGTATATGTCGGTGCCCACATTTTGAAAGGTTCCAAGTACAGGGGATACCTCAGAGAATATTAACAACGAGTTCAATTAGGATTGAATAGGCATTCACTCTGAGCCAGGAACATGAGCATGTTCTATGAACAAAATTTCATTTTTGACAATTATCGAGTATTGGGTTTAAAGGGTTATAGAACCAGTGCCGGTGCCCAACTTTTGAACACGTGCATGGAGTGAGACAGAGACAATATAAAACATGTACAGTTTTCCGTTATTCGTTATTCCGAATACTGTCCAACTTTACTCTGCAAAATGAATATTATCTTGGAAAGAGTGTTAACTTTTAACTGTTGACCTTTCTATATTCTGAATACTTATTTTTGTATTTAATATTTAAATTCGCGATATTCACCAATTGACGCGGAAACATGTGTCTCGAAATGAATATGACTAGCAGTGACACAAGCATTGAAAGTTGAATATTTTCATATTGAACTACGACGATTCGATGCTGACTATGCGTCATACGTCTTGTTTGTCTCAGAGAAATGTTCACCGAAGTATTGTGGGAAAATCCAAAGAACGCAGCCTTTATACGTTTATTATTGTGTTAGACAATGAGAATATTTGCGTAAAAACCAAAATTTGAAACTCTATGTACGATTGGTTAAATGATTTGCATGGAAAAACTTTGAAACGGAAAAATTAATATGAAAGGACAGTGCAAACTTTTAATATCCTGCGGTAGTACTAGTGAGGAACTAATAATTATAATGATAAGATCCACTGCAACAGAATCACAGAAGGGGAATTGAAGAGTTCAGGATTACCTGCGCTACTGTCTTGAAAAGTTTTGCCCCTATGCCACGCCCCCTGTAGGCCTCTGACAAGAACAAATCCTCAAGGTAAATGATACGTCCAACCAGTGTAGCGTAGGTGTAGAAGTACAAAGCAAACCCCAACAACACAGTCTTGCCCTCAGCAGCTGTAACAACGGTTGTCAGTATTATTACATGTGTTGTTATAATAACCATTGTTTAGTATCACGGTAGACAGTTTGTAAACGGTTTATGTGCCAGGTGAAGCATGGGGATTAGATATGTAGGAAATGGTTCAGTATGAAAATAAACGTCAAGGGAATACCAATGTGTGAACAAAACCGTCATTCGAACTCAAAATTAATAACACTAGGACAAACTATGACCATAAGAAGCATTGACATGCACCCTCTTGAAACAATATAAGGAGAGTACGACAAGGGTTTCTGGAAGAGTAAGAAACTAAAATATGGAAATAGACAGTACACTGTAGAGGATACACATTTTAATAAGTGATTCCTAAGCCGAAGACACAGCAGAAAGCTCCCAATTTTATATGGGGACATATATACATGAAAAATATACAACATCCCATCAGGAACCGAGCATGTTTTTCGAATAAAAGTAATGACAAAATTGTATACATTCCTAGCAGGAATCGTAATTATAAAGTAAACTAAATAATAATTGGTATAAAATAAAAGTAGATTATAGAGAAAACTGTTAAAAATAGGTATATTTTTGTGATACTTAACTAAAACTGAAATCGTATTTGTAGGAAAAATATTACGCTTTCAATGTGAGTTGATGCAAAAAATTGTTTTATTGATATCTAGTGTAAAATGCTATATTATTCATTATTGACAATACATGAAAAATGTACAACATCCCATCAGGAACCGAACATGTTTTTCGAATAAAAGTAATGCCAAATTTGTATACATTCCCAGCAGGAATCGTAATTATATAGTAAACTAAATAATATAGAGAAAACTGTTACAAATAGGTATATTTTTGTGATACTTAACTAAAACTGAAATCGTATTTGTAGGAAAAATATTACGCTTTCAATGTGAGTTGATACAAAAAATTGTTTTATTGATATCTAGTGTAAAATGCTATATTATTCATTATTGACAATACATGAAAAATATACAACATCCCATCAGGAACCGAGCATGTTTTTCGAATAAAAGTAATGCCAAAATTGTATACATTCCTACGGTTTCAGTGTGAATTGATACAAAAAAATGTTTTATTGATATCTAGTGTAAAATGCTATATTAGTCATTATTGACAACACAAGATGATAGTGTTTGTTATGGTTTTAACACAGTTGTGTATTTTAGTTACAACATTAACAAAATACGTAATTCTTTTCGGCGATTGGTACAACATATTCTAAATGATATTTTATATGCATTACTGTATACCGGAAATCTTTTGCTTTTTTAAAATCAGTTTAATTTTCGCTTTTTTCCGCCCTCCTATATGAGGGCGAATATGTCATGACAACGAAAATAAGTAAACAGCACAATAAACATACTTATCAAATTCGAAGGGCGAAATTAACACTTCGGCGAAAATTGTTTTCATGAGCAAAGGGCGAAAGTCTGGCTAGGCGAAAGTTTCCCGGGAAACAGTATTTTGTACGTAGTATGTCAGTGATAGCGATGGTACACTTTGTTGTTCTATAAGCACCCCTAATTTAAATGATATTTTCTCTAGGACCTCACATAAGGCATGATAACCAGTGAGGAGTTGTCAGTTTATGCTGTGGCAGTTTCACACTCCTTAGAAACTAGTAAAAACAAATAGAAAAAATGTATGATGACAGTCAAAATAAGTCAATTCCATTACACATATCCAAAAGGATTTCCAATGAGTTTCAGTGATTTTTAAACAGAATTATGTAAACGTTGTGCATTGATTAGGTTGGCTTACAAGCGTCAGCTGTCGGGAATTTCTATTTAGCTCAGCGGTAGAGCATCGGGCTGGAGAGCCAAGAGTCGCGGGTTCGAGCCCCAGAGATGGCACTGTCTTTATCACTATTCCTCGTCCTATTACAATTATATTGTAGCTTGTCTATGAAGCGATCTTATATATAAACATTTATATTCTTTTATTGAAATTGAATATTAAACACAGTTCAATTTTAAGTTAAACTAACGATGACGCAACATTAGGTTTTGTCTTGCCCACATTGTACCGAATTTCTGAATGCATTATATTGTGTACATGTATCATATTTTACACTGCATTTCCTCACTCTCTTCCGACTGTCCCTGTAAATTGATCCTATTCGGATCACTAAATCTATAGTTAGATTTTTGTGTTGGTTACCATGAAAGGTAACAGATTTAAAGAATTGTATCAACACTTGTTTCTGTCTCCGATTCATTATAATATTATGTTCAACCATGTTTGTATTGTGTATTACTTATAGGATGTGATTAAACAAAGTTAAACTATACTAAAATTGTTTCCTATTGATTCTGATATATATATATACATATATTTACAATCAAATCAGTGCATTATATATCACCACATATGTCTATTACAACATTAACATCACTATTGTTAGACACAAATCTTTCAAAGATGGAAACAAAACTTACTTTTTGCAGTCGTATCCTCCACAACAAGGTATTCGAAACATTTCTGCTCGCCGAAACCGTCCCGTCTCAGTCCTACAAGGAAGGGGGTCAACCGTAAATGTTCATACAGATGTAGCGGATACAGGACATAGAATTGGTTAGTAATTATTTTGCATACTTAAGTATCCCCGGTACCTCTGTCAAAAACTGCAAATACACATTGGAAACTGTTGACCATAGGCATGACCATAGCTTAAATACATCATTTGTTATAGGGAAACCATACATTACGGGACTTGTATGGAAAAACACTAAAGATGATTTAAACAAAATATGATCTTCAACAGTGGGATAAGTGGGGAAACAGACACTGGGACTAGACCGGTATTCGAAATCTAGACTTCACATTGTTATGCTGTCACTAATACATGTGTACTATTTCTCTAACCGACTGAGCTACCTGGTTAACGGATACGTTTTGGCCTATCTGTGCTGCAGTTATATCCCCATAGAAAGTAAAGGGATGTGGTTACTGTATGTACAAAAAAACACAGTGCAAGATTCGCGTAATGACGTTTTTTGGATAAGATAGACACCACGCAGTTACTTCATAGCGTCATTTGTTGACAGCAATTTTGGACGCGTTTTTGTTTTACCTATGAATCCCACATGAAATTTAGATGTTCGTGGTACAGACATGCTACTCTTTATAAAACTTGTTATGCCTCTTTTGTTATAAGAAACAATTTAATTATCGTCACAAAAGAAATAGTAAGCTTACTTTCAGATATCGTCTCTAGTTGTTCCGGTATCTTGACGTGAAGATATTCCGTAAACTCCTACAGGAAAAGATATAACGATTTACGTTATGTAATTTTCCACGCAAATTGACAGTTTTTTCTCTCACTCATTCATCATTTATCAACAATTAAAATTGTATTCCTCAGCGATTTATTTTGCTGTTTTGTTTTAAAATAAATTTCAGTAATTGTTAATTCTAACTGATAATATGTATATAATATGACGTAATATTGCACTTGCAAGCACTACAAAAATATCCAGTTTCTTCCATTTATATAACGTTATACTTAAAGTGACGTACACATAAAGGTCAATATTTGTTACGTTCCTGTGATAGCAGGTGCTATTTGTTTGGGCTATTACATTTACCGTATACAGACGTGAATAATACACATGAGGTATAATGAGGTATAATGAGTTTTACAAACTTACTTGTATTAGCCGAAGTATCTCCTCAACGTCATCCTCTACAGCCGGTCTGATTTTGTAATCCGTCATTCTAAATGTCGATTGTTGATGAACCTATTCACTGCACTATCCTATAGTTGATTGAATAGGTCATGCCCTACAGATAACATGAAGTTCACCCTATATTGATATATAAGGCCCTCTGAGTTGTTTTAGCGATAACACCTGTATATCACAATTATTCATGAATAATTATTTGTTTTTTATTTATTTAGTTATTTATTTTAATTTATTTTGTAATTTTGCCTCTGAATATTATGATTTTATTTCATCGCCATATGGTGCTGAATTATTTCACGGATATCTGCATCGATTTACTTAACATGTAGATAAATACGGGCTTTCAGGTGCTGGTGGACGGTCAGTCCTCGAGGCTTAACCATGCAGCTGGATTTTGATTTCGCACGGTTTGTTTATAATATGAGTTAAAAATAAATTGTATTATATCCAAAATGTGTAATTCAGCAACGTTATAAAAGGTGTAATCCTACATAAGATTCAACAAATTTTAGACATTCATTTGTATTGACCATTACATTCAATGAGTTTTAATTGGACGAAACGGCAATGAAATGCAGCCTCATTTCACTTGCTTAGGAGTTTTGCATCTGATTTGCCTACGTCAGTTTTCGTCATATTGACGCATTTCAAACGTTTTTCGTTTTTGTGGAGATTGGAGCCATTTATCTTCGATGGCGACATTGACTTAGGATCTGGGCCTTCTCATTACTGCTTGAGCTTGGATCACTTGTTTCTTCGGTTTCCGCTTTTGCATGCGTGGTATCCTTTATGGTGCCTTATTTGATGGAATACATGCCCGCAGTGCCCCTGTGTATCCCCCTGTAAGATACGGCTCGTATCGGCCAACCAATAGGTTCTTGTAAGGTCTCCACCATAATTTCGGAACCAATACTTCAGAGAAGATCGTCATAACTGTGACGGACGTCTTCTCAAATTAAGTGTCACCGTACCCTATCTAGAGACGGGTTAGTTGTTTTCATCTCATATATACACGTTGAAGTCTCTTGCAAAGGACCCAGAGGCTCGGGAACACCGTTAAGGTTCTTTTGAGTGTAACCTAAGCAAACAAATACATAATACACGACAGGAACACTGACAAACGTTACATAAATCGCACACAATGACTGATTCAATGGTACGAATTACATTTAATATTTAAATAAAAGTATACATGTTTCTGCATTCACACTTACTTACCAGGGAATGCACGATGAACAGTGATGGTTCGAAAGCTGGTGTTCGAATGATAAGTGGACTGTTCGTGCAGGGAATAACATGTACTTAGCATGAACACAACCCACTCACTCATTCACTCAATCAGATAAGTTATCTCACGTACATATGTGTGACGCAATATATATATACGCGGAAACATACCTGCTCGGAGTTAGTCAACTCTGACTATTGTATACCAAAGTACGAAGGGCTACATAAGGTCCCTTCCATTCTTTCGGAACCAATACTTCAGAGTAGATGGTCAAAACTGTGACGGACGTCTTCTCAACTGAGAAATGAGACGGGCTATTTGTTTTCAATTAATATACATACGTTAGTGTCTCTTGCAATCGACCAAGAGACACAGGAACTTCGTACTGCTTTTGATAGATTATGTTAGTCGACTACTTTGTAAAAAGTCTTTTAAGGAAGGACAACGCAGGTGTTGTAGGGGGGAATAGTTTATTGAAGTTCAATGAAGAGATACTGACAAGAGTCCCTAGGGACTCAAAGGTCTCGACAGGTGAACCATGCAATTATTCGAATCGTTACACAAATGAAGCTGCAGATTGTTCGAAGATGTGCGTACATGTGCCATGCGCTTATTTTAATCAGTTTTAAGCAAGTCTGTAAGCGTCATGTGACTTCATAGTTTAAATTTCTTAATGTCGTTTTAATTAGGGCTGCAACCATACATTAACAAGACGATACGATACGTTTCATAATACTGTGGTCACGATACGATACGTATCACGATACATAAAGCAACAGTAGAAATAGACTTTGTCAAAAATGGGTATTACTTTTAAAGTTTCACACATCTCACGTCTTTCGAAGAGTATGCCGAGCTGGAGCTGTCACTCGCCATGGAACTGATATCAGTAGACTAAATTCAGAAACGACACAATCCGGAAAATATCGGAGGTGTATCGTAACCTCCAAAATAAATTGCGTATCGTACCGTATTCAAAATATAACGATGTATCGTCGCATGTATCGCTGCATCCCTAATACACATACAGAATATTCTGAACATATGCAGAATGAAAACACAAATAGGATAATCATCTCGGAAGTAGATTTTATGCATTGTTTTCCCGACCAGTATGTCTTAGTTAAAACGCTTACTAATGCTGTCGACATCATGACAACCAGATCGTTATGACTTAGATAAGTGTTCCAACTCTTGTCGATTCATCTGAAACACATTCAAGTTCTCTGACGCAGTGACGTCACAAGCTCCTCGGTTCTTATAGAAGTCTATAGATGGTTTGTTCCAGCTATAGGCCTCCCACTTCATCCTTTCACACCCCTGCGTTATACCTGCCTAATTCAAACAGACACAGATAGAGTTAGATATCATTAGTGCTTAAGCAATATGTGAAAAAACGTATTTGCACGTAATCAGAGTACATAGATTATGCTTCCAAGACCCAACATCGTTCAAAATATCTACATTTATATATAAACTTTATTTATGTCTTACCACAATTATGAAAAAAGTTATATTAATTAACTTGTATATTAATCACTCATGTTGGCCCGGATGTTACGCGCAGGGGTCTTAATGCGGGAGGACACCGGAGTACCTGGATAAACCCCACGTGGTTGGGAAGTTTACCCCATACATTTTATGCATTTCATAGTCCCCCACACGTTAATGAACAAAATTAAAATTCCATGTTATATTTTGTTTACACTCTAATATGAGACAACAGTAAGTGATGCCAAGGTGTACCAAACCTGACCCAGACAACATTTTGGAACTGATCGAAGGACAGCAAACGTTTGGACGGAATACAAACACAGTAAGCTTCGGTAATTCCAGTTAGTGACAAATAGTTTCATAAAGGTCAAATGACATAATATCACATTAAATTCTTGAAAAGCCGGTTTAAGGAAACTAAACATGAAAAAAAGGTCACTTTTTATGGATGTCTGGTAGACGTAATACACGTAAACAAAGTAAATGCGCGTTCGAATACACACACTAGTACATTTTAGGAGTGCTCGATAGGGGCAATACCGTCACAGTTTTACCTTTGCTACTGTTTGAAAAAGTTTGGACCCGATGCCACGCCCTCTGTAGACCGCTGACACGTACAAGTCCTCCAGGAATAAGACACGCCCAACCCATGTAGAGTAGGTGTAGAAATACAGGGCGTATCCCCACAGGAAAGCCCTGCCATCTGCAGCTGTAACAATCATCACCAGTATTAATATTGAGGTTGTTATCATAATTATAATTGAACTCTCACAGTAGAAAGAGGATACATGCTTAGTGGCCCGAGGGCTAGAATCGGTCGGGGACTGATACCGAGTAGGATATGGACATAGTAATATGATAACCGTTTTATCATATACTGCGCTGTAGCATCAACATCATCAGCAGCAACACATAAAACATACACCAAATCTAAATTTCTTCGGCAATGTAATCAAATTCTACCTTAGAAATAAAACACAATGAACAACATTACAAATACAGATGAATACGCATATTCAGCTTGTTTCACTTGTCCTGTATCTGACACGTGATATTTCAGAAAAAGTGTTAACCGGAAGTGCAATGGCTATGGCAAGCGCCGGGCGATTATTGGCAGGTCCGGGATATGGTCTATGCACACCCATATCATGGACAAGTATACGAAAATTGAACGTACGTGTTCCGAGAGAGGAATGGGAGTGTTTAATTGAAACAATGCGGTAACAATATCAAGATTGCAGTCGTTAATACTTGTTTACACGCCATTATTTCCTAGTTTACATTGTAAGACAAAGCAGATAATCTCCACACTATTCTTTTGAGTCCTATTCCCATCACACGTGTATATTATTTCCTAAAACATATAAACGTTTATTTGTGATTTGTTGTTTGTTTTTGTTGATGTAATTGTTGTTGTTTTCATGTTTTTATTAATTCACGTAAGTACATACAATGCAAACCAACCTTGCTACGAACATTTGTCAAACATTAACATTTTCACAAAATGGTATACTTTTTACTGTGAATTGTTACAAACACAAATCTTTTAGATAAATCACAAACAAAAAGGTATATTCTTAGCGATAACAATATCAAATTAGTATATCCTTAAAGTTAATTGTAACAGAAATAGTAAAAAAAAAATGTGTTTTTTTTTAAAGTATTATATCTTTAATAACAACTGAGAAAGATGAATTTGTTTGTATATATTTACATTCTGTATGTTTAGACCCATGGACGAAAATGAGTTATTTTTACATAACATATTCGACCTTATCACATGATGTACTAGTACTGCACATGTAGCTCTGTTCACCGTCCGCCGCGATGCCGCCCATTATGAACATCATGTAACGCGATAAATGGAATTTGTCAAGAACACAATGTTGTCATGACCTCATAAATGTTGAAAAAATAAATTATGTTCCTTAAATAACAACTCTCTTGTGATAGCGATTATACAAAATGTTTAAAATATTCAAGATGACACTAGCATTTCCTTCTACAGTATTTGATTCAAATAGCTATCAACAAAATGAGGTGACAGTTTATTTTGTTGGGGTTTTACTTCTTAAAGTCAGGAGATATAAAGGGTATGCAACAAAACTTGATGGACAAAAACGGTTATTTTCAATACACATTTCAATAATATTATTTCTATTGATGTTTTAACTGAGATTTACAATATCGATTATTTTAAAAATCATAAGTCAGTTACAACATTATAATTTCTGTCGGAAGCCATACACTTTTTCAAAATTCTAAACCAAACTTACTTTTTGTTGTAGTATCCTCAACAACAAAACATTCGAAACATTTCTGCTCGCCGAAACCATCTCTTCTCAGCTCTGTAAAAAGTGTTAACAGCTTAAAGACTTGTCACAAAAAAACAGTTGAAAAATATATGACCACATTATATGCTGATGTGTCTGTTCTATGAGTAAACTACTGATAATATCACAATTCGTGTATTGTTGTCCTGGTAATTCATCCTCAATATCCAGCGGCTACGCTCACGTACGCTCTCTGCAACCCTGGAGATCGGTCTCAGGTAAAACAAACCGGACCAATCGCTAGGCTGATACCTGTCCTTTGAAGATTACAAAGCGGCGACACACGACTTCAAAGTCAGCCAATTTTTACCGTTACGCGACCGCGAGATTCTTTTGATGTACATCAAAGGATCGAAATAGTCTTCTTGGTTCATCAACAAGCCTTCGATGTTGCTATGACATATTCCAGGGGTACAGAGAGCGTAAATGAGAGTAACCCCTGGAGTATTGAGGATGCTGGTAAGCATATACTGCTCTAGCCCGAGATTCCTCTGGCCCTAACACCGGACTTAGACATTTTGATAGATAAAAGTCTAGTGTGGGGCCAGAGCACACTACTATATTAAAACGTGGCATTCTCCGACACCGTTTGGTGTCTGGGTGCTTTGAGGAGGTGTCAACAAAAATCTACTATGACACAACACAAACCTCAAATATACCGATATATGGATTATTTATTGATCAGTTACAATTTGATTAAAAACAAAACAAAAATAGTAATACATACTTTCAGCTGTCATTCCCATTTTCTCTAATACATTGCTGTAATCTGCTAACTCCTGAAAGAAGCGATATGCATTTGTATACCATATTTTGTTATTTTTATACATAATTTATCTTCTATATTTTTCGATTTCCTTGATGTGTATTTCGGTTCTGAGACTTAGGATCGGTTATAGTATTGGTATTGTCTTTTAACACATTTTTAACATCGATAACACAGCTGAACATTGAATGTACTCGCAGTGAATTCTGTATTCATTCAAATAGCTTCAGATAGACAACACCGCGTATCATATCGGGCATAGCCATAGGGAAGAGACCACGCTTAATATAAGATGGGGGAAATATTAATGAACCTATGTGTCCTATCAGGGAGGTGTAGTGGACATCCCTGGTCCTATATGTGATTTTGTTTTCAAACATATATAAAACAGTTGATATGAAATTATATTTTATTCAAGAAAGCAACAACTTCTTTAAGCGAATTGTTCCGGTACTAAAAACTCCAGGTCATGTTTTTGTGTCATCACCCTGTGCACACAAACACGTTGAGGTGAACACGTGTGTATTTTGTCTTACCTGTCTCAGTCGAGTTATTTCCTCACAATCCTTATCTACAGCTGGTCTGATGTTGTAATCCAACATTCTTAATGTCACTTGTGGATAAAAGTGTGTTTCAGACCTACTTCTGGGCGCGGGGTTAAAATATACCAGTATACTAAAGCGTACGCGTCACACTTGTATATCAGTGATAATAGTTGAGGGCCCTGGAATATATCCCACACACACACATGTACGTTAAACCCGATCGGTCTTTACCGATGTTAGTCACCCTCTCACCAAGCTTGCTTTTAGTGTCAGTTCAAATATGTTACCCGGTATTTTGTTGCAATCATAGTATGCCTATAGGCTAGTTGTTGTTGTCTTCTTTTTTTTGCAGTGATAGCATCATCGGTAACCAGGGGTTACGCTCACGTTTGCTCTCTACACCCCTGTAATATGTCAACACAAAATTAATAAAATTTAATGTAAAAAAATAAATTGATTTATCTAAGCACAAATTAGGTTTTATTTATTGGTTGGTTGTTACCTAAGCCTAGCGGAGCATATTCATGTTAGAGTTATCTCCCCTATAACTTCCTCTTGCTATCTCAGAATCCATGGTAAGCATAATCATATTTTGTCAAAACAAATTTTAAGTTTTTGTATCTAAATTTTCGCTATTTTTGAAAAGGGTCATGCAGTTAGTCCGTCCACTTGTGTTACATGCCATGTTTGGTAATATACAATTTAAGGCTGTCCATATTCGGGGTATTCATAACAGTGTAGTAGATTCTATATCTCGTCTACAGTGGGCTCGGTTCCGGCAACTAGCACCAATGGCAGATCCAGAGCCGGCAGCAATCCCAGTAGCATTCCAAATGTTGATCTCCAAGCTGAAACTACGAAATTGATTTCAGCTTCTATTTCTGAGAATACTACTAAAGCATATGTTGCAAGTATAAATGTATTCGAGGCTTTCCGTTCACAGTATCATCTCGCCACATCCTGGCCTCCACCATTGCAAGATATTATCAAGTTTATATCATATCTGTCTGTCGGCAATTATGCTCCCAGCACAGCAAAATCCTATCTGTCGGGTATAGCTTTTAAGTGTAAATTGTTAGGCCAAGAGGATAATACACAAAATTTTATCATCAGAAAAATGTTAGCAGGAATGCAAAGGTTGTCAAAACGGGTAGATGTCAGGTTGCCTGTTACTCCTGAATTGTTGGTGAAGCTTCTCCAGGCCCTTCACGTGGTTTGTTGTTCAAAGTATGAACAAATATTGTATTCTACACTTTTTTCTGTCGCATTTTTTGGGTTTTTCAGAGTTGGGGAATTAGTAGTTGATAAGCTGGGAGTTACCTCCCATACACTGTGTATTAATAATGTTGTGTTATCTGCATCAAGTGTTCAATTGTCATTGTCTAGTTCCAAGACCGATCAGTTAAGTAAAGGTGTGACAGTATGTTTGCCAGTAGCCAAGCCCCCAATATGCCCAGTTTTGTTGGTAAAACAATTCCTGGCAGTCAGGCCAAGTAAACCAGGTCCATTTTTTTGTCATTTTGGTGGATTACCGGTAACAAAATATCAATTTAATGCAATGTTAAAAAAATCTCTGAATACAGCTGGAGTATCTACAGAGCGTTATAAATCACACTCTTTTAGAATAGGCGCTGCTACTAGGGCTTCTGCAGTTGGTATGTCTGATGATGAAATAAAAAAACTGGGTAGATGGGAATCACAGGTGTTTAAGTCATACATTCGAGTCCCAACCATGGAGTTGTGCTGAGGCTTGTAAGACTCATACAGTACCTTGCAGTAGTCTGGGTGAACATTACTCAGCATTGTATCAATTTAAAATATTTTAAATGTATTTTGGAGCTACCAAGGCAAGTGTATAAATGTATTTCTACAGTTTATTTTAGTTAAATTTTCTAGAGATCACCTGTCAGCTTTGCATCTGATTGTCAGTTTAAGACTTTCAGATGTCAGAAACCGTATTTGGATCGTGGGGTCCTCATTAGTGAAAAGGGCCTTTTTCCATGCAAGGAAGTCAGGGGATGGAGTAAATCTTGGGCTGAGCCGCTACCATGCCAGTGTATGGTGGCAAGGGAAAGGTGGTCTGCGTTGGAGAGAACTGGAGCCTTTCGTTAGACATCTGCTGACGGTCGAGGACACCCCCCACATTATGGTGATTCACTGTGGTGGGAATGATCTTGGGCAACTAGTGAGTTGTGACCTCCGCCACTCTATATTAAAAACAATGGACAGTTTGATGAAGTTGATGCCAGAGACAAAATTTGTTTGGTCACAAATTTTACCTCGGTTGGAGTGGCGAAATGAAATTGTTCATGTGGCTGTTGATAGGGCCAGGGTGAGGGTCAATAGCAAAGTGGCCAGTCATTTCACAGCCATAGGAGGCAGTTATATTAGATACCCTGAGATACGGGAAGATTGCCCTGATCTTTTTATGGACAAGGTCCATCTGTCCGAGTTAGGCAATGAAATGTTTTTGTATCATTTGCAGCAGGATCTTGGCAATATTCTTTCAAAAAGTATTGATATCTAAATTGTTGTCAGGTTTGAATTGCGATTACGATTATTTGGCTGTGGCGGCATGAGGTGCCCAGTCTTACTACTGAGTTGCTTGTCCTCACAGTAGTAGCGGGTGTCTGATGTTTAATTTGAATTTTGCGGTATGGTGGCGTTGGCTATGCCTGCTACCTTTTTGTGTGACTGCAGGCATTGCCATGTGGCGGTCTTTTGAGGCAACACCAGTACCGCTTCAGTGAAATTTTTTACCATATTGACCAGTTGTCATTCAATGAACAGTTTCACTTTAAATAAGTTTGTGAAGTTCACAAATTGTATTTGCAATTTAATAGCATAATTAATTTGAAGTGTACAGCTGTTCCCAGTGTTCACTTAAATTACAAATATTTCTAATGGGACCAACTATTGTCAAATAAGTAATTGGTAAAGTGGGGAAAATGGGGTGTACATCTGTTCCCAGTGTTCACTTTATTTGTCCTTATTTCAATTGTCCCAAGTTTTGCAATTTTGCACAAGTTTGATCAAGTTGATCTGCAGTTATCTAAGTTTGGTTTGCCCTATGACTCTAATTTAGAGTCGGTAACCACATCTGTATGAAGCCGTGGCCATATAATCGCCAAACCTTAAAAAATAAAAATATCATAGTAGCTAATTTGGTGTTTGCGTTGTTTGTGTCTTTGATAAAGGCTCAGTGTGATCCTCTTGTTAATAAGACAAGAAAACTAGTTCGACCCTTTTATGTACATCAAAAGAATCTCGCCGTCACGTAACGGTAACAATCGACAGGCTTTGAAGTCGGGCGTCTCTCCCTTATAATCTTCAAAGGACAGGTGATGCCGAGCGATTGGTCAGGAATTTTTACCTGAGACCAATCGAACAGCTATCTTCGTGCCATCAAGTTTGCTATGACATATTCGAGGGTTGTAGAGAGCAAAAGTGGGCGTAACCCCTGGATATCGAGGATGCAGTGATAAGTGATCTTAAATTTTGCATCGATGCGACTTTCATAAAGAATTTCATCTTCATACATATCATATTCGTTATGTTGATTTTTAGATACACACAGAATCTCCTAAAAAATAACTCATTTTTGTTCCTTTAACAGGACGCGTACGTACGTGGTATGAATTTTAAGTTCAAGATATATAGCAAAAATCTTGCCAAAATGCCCATTTCTTTAGTAAAAAATATTACAATAAAAGTCAGGTAACTTACAAATACGTGTGTTGTGTACTGGCGCGTAGTCGCTTATATATATTATTATATGCTGACGAATCCGCCATATAAAAAAGAAGCAAAAAACAAAACGAAAAACATAAAAAAAAACCACTGCCTGTGGCATACTGAATATGTCTTCAGAAATAATATATTCTGATCCAAATTCCAAATACAATGAAAATCTTGATGTTATTGCAGA